CCTACACCTTTTTCTACTGTCATAGTCTAATTTCTAACTTTTTTGAATGTTTGTGAAATAGCTGTCTTTCTGAATAGGGGTTTCTGTGTCCTCTGTTCTTTTTTTACAGAAACACACTACTGTGTGGAGTGTTTTGGCTGGGAAATGGGATGCTGCAGCTTTAAGAGCTTTTTCCAATTTATAACAGTGTTTCTTATCCCCCCCCTTTTTTTTGCCTGCAGGCAGGGGAAGAGTCTGTACAGTATTTATTTTGTTTCAATTTTACTTTGAAATTTGTAAGTTTCTATAAGTAGCTCACAGTTTGGGAGGACAAGTGGCTTGGTTAAATTTGTATTTGACAATAGTTTCCACTTTCTGTACCTTAAAATACTGAAATTAAAATCTGTATTACTTATGTTTTTGATTTTAGCACTCAAGTGTTTTAATTTCTTCATTTGCTCCATGTAAATAATTTAATATGATGCAGAATGATGAAAAGCTGCTTAATTCTATTTTTGCTTCTGATTGCTGTCACCTTTGCTTTTGCAATTCTGTAGGTCTGGAATTTTTGAGCAGACCTTGAGGTTTTAAAAGAATTTGAAAGAATGACTAAAGTAATGGGAGACTGACTTCTTTCAAAAGCTTACCCTGTGAGAAGAAGACGCATCTTTGGCAGTATAGAGGGACCTCATTGGTGTTTCCGTAAAAGAATAAGGGAAGGAGTTTGATCTCCAGAGTTGGGTTTTGATACCAATGCATGACTATATATGTATATGGGAAGAAGGGAAAGATACCTGTACAACTTTTGTGCTTTTGGCTCCCCCCCCCCCCCCCCTTCCCCTTCAAAGCCATCCCAGGCCAGCCGTATAATGTGTCCTTGGTGCTTGACAGCCCCCCCTGCTTTTGTAGCCACAGGCTACAAACCTCAATTGTTTTGCCAACTGGGCTGCTGGTGGACAGTACTGTTGCCTGATGGGAGGCCACAGGGTGGAAGGTTAGGCACAGAGCCATGTTTTCTAGTAGTCTGTGCAAGCAACTGTCCATCATTTCGTTCATTTTTATGCAGCCATTTATGTTGTTGAGCATGGACACATGTATTTAGCTGGTAGCTTTGTTTTAAGGCAGTGCAGTGATACTTCACATCAGAAAGCAAAGATCCTTGGTTTAAAGGGTAAAAATACTTGCTTATAGCATGGAAGTTTGCAAAGTGAAATAGAACTTGACTTTACTTTCTGTGAAATCGCTTCAGGTAATGTGAATATTCTGAGAATACTAAATATTCAAGGATAAGCTAAAACGCTAAATTTACAATATAAATGGTCTGAATTGTTTTCCTTGCTATTGTTTCACCTGCTTATGTGAAACACAATGCCAGTGTATGCTGAGAGAGCCAGTGGTATAATCAAGGTATTAAAAGGATTAGAGCCTTGTACATGTGATCATCCTATACTGAACATCTGGGAGAAATCCAGGCCCCCTGAGAGAAATCTTGATCCTCAAGACTGACAGAGGCCATTGTCTTCCCCGGCCAGTCTGTCTCCAT